TAAAAAGAGAAAATTTGCTAAGATCTGTAAGGGACAAGAAGTTGTGGAGAGCCTAATAGAGTAAGAGGTAGGGCGTAAGGAGATATGCGGGGCAGATAACAGTTGACTCTAGACTTGAACAGGCGAAGATTGTATTGATCGGGGAAGCATGCCCTTGGTAGTCGGTCTACAAAACAGCGGTTCATTGGAAGAAGCCGCTGAAATAGAACTTACATCTCAACAATAGAATACAAACGGAATGAGGGTTGTTCGTTAATATGTGCATGGTATGGCGGGTCTTAGACGTGAAGGGTTAGAACAGTGGAACCATGGGTATAGCAATAGAGCAGCGAGAGGCTTGTAGAGTGGAAAATAATTTGTCATCCATATCCATATATCGGAGCAGTATAATCCTGATCTAGTTCTTGTGAAGCTATACGATAGCGAGACGAGTTAGGTTCTTACTGGAGTGGTACAAGGACTTTTGAGAGGAATATGTTCGATGGTAATGTGATAGGACAGTAGTACTATTTAGTTTATTTTACTTCGATCAGAATTACTAAACTTCAGTTTTGATGTGCTTCTCTTTTTCGTATACAGTGGGTATGGCTGAGCTAGCTTCATTTAATGCTTTTTCGCGTCCCACATTTTGAAGAGCACACATTATATAATCATTAGAACTATAAAAAAGGGAAATCTTTTTATACTCAACTCAAAAAGTATATTCTTTTATACACAACATGAAAAATCTTTTTTATACTAAAGACAAAAAGGAAAATAATTTTATACTAAACACAAAAAGATAAAATCTTTTAATACTCAACACAAAAAGGGAAATCTTTTTATGGTCCACATAAAAATGTAATTCTTTTTATACACAGTTTAAATGAATATGATACACAATACTCAGAAGTGGTATTCAGCTGTGAATTCGGTTTCTAGTTTTCAAAAACGGGGTCGATGAGAATATTTGCATAAACGTAATATATACAAAAATGCAATTACATATATCACATGTATCTTTACACGCACACTTGAACACCCACACATTCTATGCATATATATATATATATATATATATATATATATATATATATGCATACAAGGGGAAGACTTCTGACGCTTAATCCCTGAAATATTGATATTGCAGCAGCCCTTCGTATATAAATGAGAAAAATACATTGATCACCCATATTGATTACATGTCTTCCATGAAGTGCAGTGCAGGTTTTCCGAAAGTAATTGATATATTACTGGACAGTTACATATCGTTCGAAATCGAAGCAACTCGTATAAATGATGTTGTGCCTCGTCAGTTCAGTTTGGAAAAGAAAACTAAATAAGATAAAATGCTAGATGCACTTATATAGTGTTTCGTAATATGTTTTTAGAGTTTCAGGTTGCAATAATTTACAGACTGAGGATATTTGGAGTAAGTTACAGACAGCTTGATTTTAAATACGATTGCTGCATTTTGTACGTGTCGTCTTGAAATCCTAACAGAAAATGGCCTTGCTTCAAAATAGTCGGTTAAAACGAGGACGAAATAAAGTTCTTATTCCAATTATCGATTGGGTTTCTTTTTGCAAACGTAAGAAATGTGAAACGTGTAAATCGAGATGGTCAAACCATATAAATAAGAACGGGTGTTTATATTTCTATGTCAAATACAGCGTATGAAAACAACAGAGTTCAAAGTCAAAGCGATTTGTCATTTCTACGAAGAGACATTCTTGGAAAGCGTAAAAATAAACAAATAAAAATTATAACCAAATAAAGAAAAGTTGATTGTGAAGAATTTCGGGCAAACAATCTGCGACTGATAAAATTAACTTCACTTAGTTTGACACAAGGTCAAGTTTATAGCGCACCCAGAGAACATTTAATTCACTAATTTTGAATTCATTATATTTGCGAATTATTCTTCTTCTATGTGCCGTGTCCCTTCAGGGCATGAACGATAATGGTTCTCCATATCTTCCTCTCTTTGTTCTTTTTAGCAATGTTTGTCTTTTTGCTATTTTTTCTAATGTTTTTACCTTCAACATGTCCTGTGAGTGTTAATTTTTCCAAGCCCTCTTTTTTCATGTGTTCTATCATACCCATAGCCATTTTAGTGGCCGAGTGAATACAACCAGAGTTCGAATCTCACCATTGTCGATTTGTTAGGAATGTAACTTCTTGATTATGCTGAAGGATAATCCGACGAAACAGTAAATATATATGACAATTTGAAAAACTTCACATAAAACATCAACAGAAAAGGAATTTCAACGCAAGATCTAGATTGACGAGACAAAAGTTAATTCAAATTAACTGAATGAACGCTTAAATTTTAGTTTCATAAATGTTTATTTTCCTTATAGAAATTGGATTTTAACTAAGTTACCTTCCGTTTTTATTTTGATTTCTTTTCTTTTAAATGTCACGATCATCTTGCCCCCTATAGTTAATATACAACCGGACTAATTCAGTTATCGCCTGTTCTTACTAAATTAATACTAAAACATTGTAGGATATCTATTGATAAAGAATGAATATAACTGAGACGACAATGCGTTGAAAGTGTCAATGATCTAAACCAACTCGAAATGCCTGATAAAATGAAATAGTTTCGTGGTAGGAGACAAGCCACCAGACTATATCATTTTATCACCTCTTCTTACTTAATTAAGATACGTATAACCTAGAAGAAAAAAAAATCTAATTTTTCAATGTGTGGCATCGTTGGGGAGTGCCTGAACGTCGTAGCATTTGGCTGATGGAACTGTTCGACGATCGTTGTATTAGCACGAAGTTACAAATCATAGCGACCATGAAGTTTCTAGCTTTGCTCAAACTTTGCACGCGCCATATTATGCACTCTCTCCCAGAAACTGTAACCAAGGTCTGCTCAACATGACTGTAGAGTATAAAGTACAGGTTGACTCTAGGGCTACTAAAGAAACGCAAGTGTACGTGAAAAGGCATCTACAACACAGATTAGGTACCGGCTCCTAGCAGACGGGCATATTTTACATAGGAGCGCCCAGCCATGCAAGTTATTTTCTAAGCTTATTTTAATCTGGCATAAAGCTGTAAAGTTGAAGTACACGGAAGATATCACTCAGTGTTTATTGTATTGTTTAACAATAGAAGACAATGATCCTGCTTTCCCTTCCGAGGCCAATGCATTGATAATGAGTCTGGAGGCGGGGCTATATCGATGACATAGCTTTACATAGTTGGGATAAGAATGATCTTTAAAAAAAAAAAAAAATGAAATAAACATCCTCTACCAAATGTTCCAAGAAATAGGAATCAAGATAAAATTTCCAAAACAGAAAATATGATCTATAATTTGAATGAAAGAAATGATGCCACATACACTGACTCCATCAATTCAAGATATGGCATTAGTAAATAATAAACACTTCAAAAACACGAGGTATGAATCAGTTATAACAAATTTAGTATAGGGGATAAAGAAAGATCCAACATCGCAAATTGCTACAAAACATTAACCTAACATCTCGAGTTATGTCCTTAAATAGCACCGTCATAACGAAACTTTTATATGGATGTCATGCATGGTGCCAAACCCGTTCAGAAATATCTAAACTGCCAGCTATATATAACTACTTTTTAAGATCAATTGTTAGAAATTGCTTTGAGCGAATGAAGGCGCGATGTGTCTTGGTGAAGAGCACACTTCTTCGAACCTTATGGACTGGCGCTACAGAATCACAAACAATGAAATGTACCAATTAACAGAAGCCATGTCACTTGAGGACTTTCAGCGGTAGCAACGACTAAAATGGATAGCACATGTAGCCCATGTATCTCAAAGATATTATAAAAGTGTTGACATTCCACACTACTTCTAATATAAGGTTAGAAAAGTCCCGTCAATACTGGAAAGAGCGATAACAGCTACTTGGTAAACCTTTTTGCCTGAAAAATTGTTTTAAGAGAAAGATTTTATAAATTTCAATTATCAGTAGTAATGGCTGATCGGTCAATGAATGTCAAATGTTTCCTCATAAGGAAACAGCTAATATTGTCATTACCATTACCAAACCAGCTTATTAGTTCACGTTAAGATTTTTTTTCAAATGAGGTGTCTGTGAAGATAAACCTGGCGACATTAGCGAATTAGTTCAGAAGATGAACTTGCTAGTCATTATTCTACTCATAATGATAAATGCAATTTCATTACTCCACGCCATTTGGAGTATTGCCCTGAAGACATTTCGAGTTGGGTTTGATGCTTTTTATTTTTCTCGAAATAATTCTAATTAAAAGGAATGTTGTTGCGATTCCACACCTATCTTTGGCTTTGACAGAGATGACAATCAAGATTGGCGTTTGCATAATTGAGGCGACACAGAGAAAAAAGTCATCAGCGAAATCAAATGGTAACGAGATTAAAACCTTTTTAGTTCAAAAAGCCCGAATCATTTGCCGCCGATGTGCCTGCGGTAAAACAATGACACAAACAACATATTTTTTTTCGTCTACCCCCAAAATACCCCTATCTATCTATCTATCTATCTATCTATCTATCTATCTATCTATATATATATATATATATATATATATATATATATATATATATATATATATATATATATAATTACTTTTTAAAAAATGTCTCCATCGCGACACAGAAATTACTGTTTTGAAACCAAAAATTAAATCTTAAAATTTAACTTGAAAATTTAAACTTAAAAATCGGAGTTCGGTTCCATTCTCAAGTGATGCTAAGTATAACTTAGGAAAACATTGGATTACCCTATTTTTAAGTTAAGTTGCTGGTGTTAAGAGAATTCCCATTTTTTATTAAGTGGGTGTTCACTTTTTTACGAATACACAAAGCAAATGTATCTTTGTGTGGAAATTAGTGCCGGAGCACGAAAGGGTGAATTAAAAAAACAACCTGAGGCCGGATAGGTTTCATTAAACTATCCTATACACATCCGCTACTGCTACAGTGGCCCTGACGACTATTTGAAAAAATAATAAAGAAACTATAAAACAAGGGGAGAGAGAGAAAATCTAATCCTAAAAGCGATTCTGTCTGTCTGTCTGTCTGTCTGTCTATCTATCTATCTATCTATCTATCTAGCTAGCTAGCTAGCTCACTTTCTCTCAGTCTCTCTCTCTCTCTCTCTCTCTCTCTCTCTCTCTCTCTCTGTGTGTGTGTGTTTGTGTATGGGCTTACACACACACACACACACACACACACACACACACACACATATATATATATATATATATATATATATATATATATTTCAGCTGCAGGCTCCGTTAGTTTTCAAAAGCGCTGTTGATGCCGACTGCACATCCATAACAGTACTGAAATTAGCTTTTATATCGATGCAAGTAGAGTTTTTTTGTTGTTGTTTTTTTAATCTTGATTAAAAGCCATGTGTTGGCAGAACGAGGAAGACAGAATTTTAAAGAAAAAAAAAATGTCATGACGTTGCAGTGAGGGGGTGGGGATGCTAAATATCCAAATGTAGAAGATTCACTGGTTTTCTTTTTAAATTTGTATTCTACATTTTACGGAATTTCAGGCATTCAGTGCCCTTGACGTTATTTATCAAGGTCACCTTAAATGACCCCAGCAAACCTTACCCGTTCTTGTCAAATGAGTTTAACCATTTAGCTAATAAAGAAAACCAGACTGGGGCCAAAGAGACAATTGAAAATCATCTGAAATATATAATGTGACTAACCAACTAGCATTGAATGTCATATCCAGAAAGAATCCAGAGGAAATTAATGCTTTCTGTCAATAGAGGACACTATGATGTATGATAGACGGCGGGGGGGGGGTTTATAAGGGGTCTGTTAATAGAGTGACACTATGATGTATGATAGACGGCGGGGGGGGTATAAGGGGTCTGTTAATAGAGGACACTATGATGTATGATAGACGGCGGGGGGGGTATAAGGGGGTCTGTTAATAGAGTGACACTATGATGTATGATAGACGGCGGAGGGGGGTTATAAGGGGGTCTGTTAATAGAGTGACACTATGATGTATGATAGACGGCGGGGGGGGGATAAGGGGTCTGTTAATAGAGTGACACTATGATGTATGATAGACGGCGGGGGGTTATAAAAGGGTCTGTTAAAAGAGTGACACTATGATGTATGATAGACGGCGGGGGGGGGTATAAGGGGTCTGTTAATAGAGTGACACTATGATGTATGATAGACAGCGGGGGTTATAAGGGGTCTGTTAATAGAGTGACACTATGATGTATGATAGACGGCATGGGGGTTATAAGGGGTCTGTTAATAGAGTGACACTATGATGTATGATAGACGGCGGGGGGGGTTATAAGGGGGTCTGTTAATAGAGTGAAACTATGATGTATGATAGACGGCGGGGGGGTTATAAAGGGGTCTGTTAATAGAGTGACACTATGATGTATGATAGACAGCGGGGGGTTATAAGGGGTCTGTTAATAGAGTGACACTATGATGTATGATAGACGGCGGAGGGGGGTTATAAGGGGTCTGTTAATAGAGTGACACTATGATGTATGATAGACGGCGGAGGGGGGTTATAAGGGGTCTGTTAATAGAGTGACACTATGTATGATAGACGGTGGGGGGTTATAAGGGGTCTGTTAATAGAGTGACACTATGATGTATGATAGACGGTGGGGGTTATAAGGGGGGGTCTGTTAATAGAGTGACACTATGATGTATGATAGACGGCGGAGGGGTTATAAGGGGGTCTGTTAATAGAGTGACACTATGATGTATGATAGACGGCGGGGCGGGGGGGTTATAAGGGGTCTGTTAATAGAGTGACACTATGATGTATGATAGACGGTGGGGGGGTTATAAGGGGGTCTGTTAATAGAGTGACACTATGATGTATGATAGACGGCGGGGGGTTATAAGGGGTCTGTTAATAGAGTGACACTATGATGTATGATAGACGGCGGGGGGGTTATAAGGGGTCTGTTAATAGAGTGACACTATGATGTATGATAGACAGCGGGGGGTTATAAGGGGTCTGTTAATAGAGTGACACTATGATGTATGATAGACGGCGGGGGGTTATAAGGGGTCTGTTAATAGAGTGACACTATGATGTATGATAGACGTCGGGGGGTTATAAGGGGGTCTGTTAATAGAGTGACACTATGATGTATGATAGACGGCGGAGGGGGTTATAAGGGGTCTGTTAATAGAGTGACACTATGATGTATGATAGACGGTGGGGGGTTATAAGGGGTCTGTTAATAGAGTGACACTATGTATGATAGACGGTGGGCGGTTATAAGGGGTCTGTTAATAGAGGACACTATTATGTATGATAGACGGTGGGGGGTTATAAGGGGTCTGTTAATAGAGTGACACTATGATGTATGATAGACGGCGGGGGAAGCGGGGTAAAGTTAATAAGTGTCAGAAAAAGAAAGAAATGAAAAAGTTGTACTAGTTGCCGAAGTTACTGAAAGGGATTTATTTCATCAACAATGGCTTCTTGATTTTTTTTTCTCTCAGTTTTTGTGTCCATATAGATATCGACATTTATCGCCACTTTTTTATGTTCACTGCTTACTTGAAACACGGAAGTTAAGCAACATCAATCCTGGTAAGTATCTAAATGGGTGACCGCTCGATAAAAACATGTGCTTAGATGTAGTGTAATGTACAATGTCTCGGAATTGGAAATCGGAGAGTCAAGTTCCAGTTCCAGTTGGGTTCGTTATATTCACTTCCTTGCAAATACCCTTGGGAAAGGTATGAATCTTCTCCTACCAGCTATGGGTTAAATAACAGGACTTGTATCAATAAATCATTATTATCTTAAAAAACAATCTTACAATCTCAAACTATTTTCTGGGTTTAAATAACCTAAAAAGTGTTGATAAGTCGTAAAAAAATCAATCAATCAAATTTATATCCACTTATTTTACTCACTATCTTGATTCCTCATGTAAACGTATATCATCTAATTTTGTCAGATAAAAAACTTACCTATAAGTTAAACATGATTGATTTTTGAGTATTTATTTTTTTTTATCTTAATTTCAGATGCCACTCATCGCAACTACCCAGGCAATTATTAACAAAAATATATGGAACGAAATAAAGTACAGATCGAAAAAAAAAAAAAAAGAAACTTTATGAAATTCCCGAATTCGTTTTATTCCGGGGAAGGCGGGGGTGAGGCATACTTGATTTCTGACCCTCGCTATCTTATTAACATTTTCTTTTTTTTCTACCTACATTTTGATACATTACAAATTAAACTAAGAACAACTGACTATTAAAGGATGAAAACTTTTCGCGGAATTTTGATATTCTAGTTTTTTTTTTTCCTCGTCCAAATCTGTGAATTTGTTTTGCTCATGCCAAGTATAAGAAAACGCTATCGAAAATTCACTGTTTTTTTTTTCCATAATGTTCAATGTGTTAGAATTCTTCAATTTTTAATAAGAAAAATCTCAAGTTGATGTAAAGATTGCCGCAAAACATTTTGTTAATTTATTTAAGATGGAATGACATTTCTATTTAGATACATTGTACTTATTTTCAATCTTTCTCGCTAACTTGTTCACCTATATTGCATATGATCCATTATTGTACATAATTAGGTTACAATAAAATTTGTATTTTATATGGATACTATTTTATGAACATTTAGATATAGTTCAGTGGGAGGGCCTGTATTACAGATTCGTAGAGGGAGGGGTACAAGACCCTTGCACCGGCCCTGGATAGTGTCATATTTAATGGTAATTTAATAAATATAGTGCACTATGCTTATTTAAAAATTCAATGAAATATTACTCCTACCATTATTAATGTAATAAAAAATGTAAGTAAAAGTAACATGAAACAACTGACTGTCAATGCTTCATCTAATAAAATTTCGCAAGTCCGCTGAAGGGTAAATGTAATTTTGCGACACTCACAGTCGTGACAGTCATAAAATGAGTGTATTTTCTTATTTATTAATCCTCTATCTTTTGAAAGACTCCCTGCCTCGAAATCCCTACAAAGATTCCCTACCTTAAAATCCCTACTAAGACTCCCTACCATAAAACATTATCTTCAAGAATTACCTTGGTAAACCGTTTTTTTTTTTTGTTTTGTTTTGTTATTTGCAAAATGCTATCTTTTTTTATTGTAGATACACACGCATGCGCAAACGAGCAAACGCTCTCGTTCGCACATGAGTATGCAGGGCAATGGTAAATATATTTGACAATTTCAAAAGGTTCGATGAGAATATCACCAGGAAAGAAAATTCAAGACAAAACATTCATTATACAAGACAAAATGTGATTGTCATTAAGAATCTGATCTTTTAAATTTTAATTGAACTGTAACTGTCTGCACTGCTAGGTAACCTTGACATATTTGGAAAGGATATTGCAATAATCCAGATCCTATACTGGCGGCAAACTGCCTATATATGGATAGAAAATAAATTCAGTAAATATACAAAAATAGAAAGAGGCGTAAGACAAGGATGTGTCTTCTCACCAGATTTATTCAATCTATACAGTGTGGCGATTCTAAGAGAATTAGAAGACCTACGAGGATTCATTCTTGGCGGCCACAATTTTAACAACAAAAATATGTAGATGACATTGTGTTAATAACAGACATAGAAAAGAAACTACAAGAATTCCTACAGAAGGTAGTGAAGGAAAGCGAGAAGAAAAGACATCAATTGCAAGAAGACTTAATGCATAGTTGTTAGAAAAAGGAACAGTCAAACATTCAAATTATAAATTGGAGATACTAAAATGAATCAAATTCAATAATTTAAATATCCGGGAAGTGTTTTAACAGAGGAGGGAAACTGAAATACGAAAGCGTATTGGGATATTAAATTTTACACTTTAAAATCTTAGCAAAGTATTAAGAACCAGAAACAATTCGTTAGAAAAAAAAGAAGACTGAACTGTTACGCAATATCAGTCCTCCTACATGTCAGTGAATGCTGGACAACCTCCTCACGGATGAAGAAGAGATTTGAAGCAAAAGAAATATGATTCTGCAGAAGGATGCTGAGAATACCATGGGCCGAACATGTAAAAAACGACGAGGTTTTAGAGGCATAAAGGGTACTTATACTTAACAC